TTCACTCATATATAGGATATAAAACTGAAACTTGTGAACACAAACAGCATTGTGGTGGTTGCCAGAGGGAAGGAGGTGGTGGAAGAAGAATCTGTATGATAAAGAGCTAATATGCAAATGGTCGTGATGCCCTCACACAATCAACAGGAGGCTGCATGCACAGCAGGAGTGGGTGGGAGGAGACTTGCGTGAGGCATATGTCCATGCCCCAGCACCAGCCCCAGGGACATGAGGCTCATGGAGGCCTACCTCTTAGGGGCAATGGTTCGGAGGGCTCCCACACTGTGACAGGGCACAGGCCAGGCTGGGGGACCCCCCTTCCCCCTCAGTGTATGAATTTTGTGCACCCAGTCACTCGTGTCCTAATATAAGGTGACAGGAGAATATTTGACTTTGGGAGATGAGCACATGGTGCAATATACAGATATTGTAACATAGAAAACCACACCTGAAACCGATATGTTCATGTTTAACCAATTTCACCCCAACAGATTTTTTTCTTTATTAAGGTGTTACATATCTGTCCTTATTGCCCCATTGCCCTCACCCCCCTTACTCATACCTTCACCCCCCTGTTGTCTGTGTCCATTGGTTATGCTTATATGCATATACACAAGTCCTTTGGTTGATCTCTTCCCCTTATCCCCACCCTCCCCTACCTTCCCTCTGAGGTTTGATGGTTTGATCGATGCTTTTCTGTCTCTGAATCTGTTTTTGTTAATCAGTTTATGTTGTTCACTATATTCCATGAATGAATGAGATCATGTGATATTTATCTTTCTCTGACTGGCTTATTTTGCATAAAAACAAAACACTATACAATTATCCCAAACAAACTTACAAATTCTTTGAATGTCTGGCAGCAATTTAAAAACAACATGAAAGGATTTAATCCCTTCCACTGTGTAGAGGGCCCCCTGGGAAGCCACCTGAGCATTCTATATTGGTCCTTCTTGCCCTTTTGGCCAAGAGTGACTCTCTTCTAGTGGTTCAGTTGCCCACAGCAAAGGTTGAAGCATCATGGTGGCTGGTACCATGGATCTGTCTCTCACTCAGTGGGGTGAGCTGGGCCCTCTCTGGAGAAGAAACCTGGGTTTCCCAAAATATGAGATCAGTGCCCAGTCTTCGCCAGCAGGCAAGGGGATCCCAAGGCAGGCACTGGGGGTGGAGGCCACAGGGGCATAGGCTACCAAGGAGACAGAACTGAACCTCACATCACCCTGCTTGGCCCCGGAGGATGGCTGGTTAGCCAGAGAAGGGAAGATTCCCTAAGACAGGCACAGTCGCAGAGGGGCCAGCAGGAGAGAACTTAGGGTTCAACAGAGGTGGGGCAGGGACCCTTACTGCCTCTGCAACTTGGCAGGGGCCTGAACCTTCACCCCTTCTTAGGGAAGTCTCCTGCCCCACGATTGCTTCGCTTCCCATGCACAGCTCAAATCGGGGCCCAGGTAACAGAGTCTTGGCTGACAGCAGCTGCCCTCTCACTGCAACAAAACTTGTTTGAGAGGGCTTGTATCCATGGTGTAGGCAAGGGGTCTTTTGATATCCAAATCCAGCCTATACTAGGAATGCTGAGGGCCTACTCAAGAAGGCAAATAATCCTTTCTGCTAATACACCCAGGGTAAAATAAGATTGTTGTTAGAGTATTGAGTTTGACAGTTGAATAGTAGTCAATTTCTCAGAGGAAATTGAATTGGCTAATTGAAATAAGCGAATATTCTAGAAAATCTGATTGTACTGTATAAAAAGCTATTCCTAAAGTGTTAAAAAAAAATTCTTATTGGCAGTTCATCTCATCGTAAAATTGCATAACATATAATGAACCTAAAATAGACATATTTTAGAGCAAATAATTAAAATGTAAAAGTTGTCAAGACTACATTATAAAATTTCCAAAAGCCTCCTAATATTTAAATTAAAAAAGGGGGTGATAGTGGAAAAATATCATGTAAGGGAAAATATACTGCGAGTAAATTACATTTAGAAAATTTGTACTTTAGAAAATTAACTTTCATTTGAAATGCTAACAGCAAGATACCCATGAAAAACAAACATTGTGTCAAAACAAGCCAGAAGAAAAACATTTGGATTAAAAAAAAGTGCAAAAAGGATCCCAAGTCAAATTTATAGAAAATATCCCTTTATTAATTTTTGGTCAAGAATATTTTTTTCATTTTTTATTAAGATATTATATGTGTACATATCTTACCATTGCCCCCCCCCCCCGCCCCACTCCCATACATGTCCTCCCTCCCCAGAGTTTTGCGTCCATTGTTTATGCTTATATGCATGCATACAAGTCCTTCGGTTGATCTCTTATCTCCCCCACCTGTCCCTATCCTCCCGCTGTAATTTGATACTTTGTTTGATGCTTTACTGTATCTATCATTTTGTTCATCAGTTTATAATGTTATTATACATGAATGAGTGAGGTCATGTGGTGTTTTTCTTTCATAGACTGGCTTAATTCACTTAGTATAATGTTCTCCAATTCCATCCAGGTTGTTGCAAATTATAACAATTCCTTTTTTATGGCACCAAAATATTCCATTTTATAATTGTACCATAGTTTTCTGACCCAATCATCTGCTGAAGGGCACCTAGGCTATTTCCAAATCTTAGCTATTGTAAATTGTGCTGCTATGAACATAGGAGTGCATATATCCTTTCTGATTGATGTTTCTGGTTTCTTAGGATATATTTCTAGGAGTGGGATTACTGGGTCAAATGGGAGTTTCATTTTCAGTTTTTTGAGGAAGCTCCATACTGTTCTCCACAGTGGTTGCACCAGTCTGCATTCCTACCAGCAGTGCACAAGGGTTCCTTTTTCTCAGCATCCTCGCCACCACTTGTCGATAGTTGATTTGTTGATGATAGCCATTCTGACAGGTGTGAGATAATACCACATTGTCATTTTGATTTGTATCTCTTGGATAATTAGTGACTTAGAGCATGTTTTCATGTGTCTCTTGGCCTTCTTTCTGTCTTCTTTTGAAAATATTCTATTTAGGTCCATTGCTCATTTTTTAATTGGATCATTTATCTTCCTTTAATTAAGTTGTATAAGCTGTCTGTAGATGTTGGAGATTAAAAGTTTATCAGTGATAACATTTGCAAATATGTTCTCCCATACAGTGGGCTTTCTTGTTGTTTTGTTGATGGTTTCTTTTTCTTTTTTTTAAATATATTTTATTGATTTTGTACAGAGAGGAAGGGAAAGAGACAGAGAGCAAGAAACATCGATGAGAGAGAGTCATCGATCAGCTGCCTCTTGCACACCCCCTACTGGGGATATGCCCGCAGCCAAGGTACATGCCCTTGACCGGAATCGAACCTGGGTCCCCTCAGTCCCCAAGCCAACGCTCTATCCATTGAGCCAAACCGGTCTCGGCATGATGGTTTCTTTTTCTGTAGAAAAGCTTTTTATTTTGATATAGTCCCATTTGTTTATTTTCTCTTTAGCTTCCATTAACCTAGGGTCAGTATCAGTGAATAAGTTCCTCTGGCATATGTCTGAGATTTTGCTGCCTGTGGATGCCCCTAGTATTTTTATAGTTTCCCATCTTATGTTTAAGTCCTGTATCTATTTTGAGTTTACTTTTGTGTATGGTGTAAATTGGTGATTTAGTTTCATTTTTTTGCATGTTTCTGTTCAATTTTCCCAATACCATTCATTGAAAAGACTGTCTTGACTCCATTGTATGTTTATGTCTCCTTTGTCAAATATTGAGTATAGAGGTTTGGGTTGATATCCGGATTCTCTATTTTATTCCATTGATCTATAATATATGTCTGTTCTTGTGCCAGTACCAGGCTGTTTGAGGACTGTGACTTTGTAATACAGCTTGAAATCTGGTATTGAGATCCCTCCTACTTTATTCTTCTTTCTCAGAATTGCTGTGGCTATTTGGTTTTTTTTTTTTGTTCCAGATGAATTTTTGGGGAGTCCTTTCTAGGTCTGTGAAATATGCCATTGGTAATTTAATGGGGAGTGCAAAAGGAAAATAAATGATCCAATTAAAAAATGGGCAATGGACCTAAATAGAATCTTCTTTTCAAAAGAAGACAGAGGAAGGCCAAGAGACACATGAAAACATGTTCAAAGTCACTAATTATGCAAGAGATGCAAATTTAAACGACAATGTGGTACCATCTCACACCTGTCAGAATGGCCAACATCAACAAATCAACAAACTACAAGCGTTGGCGAGGTTGCAGAGAAAAAGGAACCCTCGTGCACTCCTAGTGGGAATGCAGACTGGTGCAACCACTGTGGAGAAGAGCATGGAGTTTCCTCAAAAAACTGAAAATGGAACTCCCATTTGACCCAGTAATCCCACTCCTAGGAATATATCCTAAGAAACTAGAATCACCAATCAGAAAGGATATATGCACCCCTATGTTCATAGCAGCACAATTTACAATAGCTAAGATTTGGAAACAGTCTAGGTGCCCATCAGCTAATGACTGGATCCCAAAACTATGGTACATCTACACAATGGAATACTATGTTGCCATAAAAAGAAGGAATTGTTATAATTTGCAGCAACCTGGATGGAATTGGAGAACATTATGCTAAGTGAAATAAGCCAATCAATGAAAGAAAAACACCACATGATCTCACTCATTTATGGATAATAAAGAACATTATAAACTGATGAACAAATAGATAGATACAGAGACAATAAAGAATCAAACAGACTGTCAAATTACAGCGGGAGGATAGAGACAAGTGGGGGAGATAAGAGATCAACCGAAGGACTTTTATGCATGCATATAAGCATAACCAGTGGACACAAAACACAGGGGGGTGAGGGCATGTATAGGAGTGGGGTAGGGGGGCAATGGTAAGATATGGACACATATAATACCTTAATAAATAAAAAAAAGAGTGAATTCTGTTCTCTGCAACTGAACCTTAAGTAATACAGGGAAGAAGTCCTCAAGTGAAAACTGAATTTAGTCGTTAATAAAAATACATTGTAACAAATAACAGCAATATCATTAAGTAAACCACTTTTCATGTTTATTAGAATAGATTTATAACACTTATTTTATAAGACAAGAAAAGCCACTTTATAACATATTTAATGTAATATATAAGGTATAATGCTCTGGTTCATTTTGACACAGCCACATAAGACCCATTTGTTCATCAAGGTAGCAACTATAAAACTATGTATTTTGCTTATTTCTCCTACAGACTGAGAAAAAGTTGTCTTAACTTGCATGTATAGTCTTTTTGCAACTAAAAAATTTCTTTAAGTATTCAATGTTAATTAATCTATGCTACAATACAATATAAGGTAGTCTTCAATATTCTGACTTTAAAATATCAAATATTAATAGCATATACTCTTAAGAAAGTATCTTTTTTGTAAATACAATTGACAAAATAGTCAACAAAATATGTGCAATAGTGCCTTTGTATATAAGCATAGAGCCTGTGTCTTTTTAGAGCTACAGAGGTTTAATTTATCAATTATTGCATAATAGCAAATGTGTGATAGTTAACATATAAACTATTAGCCAAACTCTGAACTGTGAACATGTTTCAGCAAATCATTTCTGAGAAAAGGAATAGATGTTATCTACCAGCTATCTCTTTAAATGGTAATTTCCTTGCAAAGATAAGGAAATGACTGACCAAATCATTTTAAAGACACTACTATTAAGTGTTTGGTTAAGTTCAATTTATGAAAATTTCAAAGGGTTCACTTAAAAATTCGTCTTTCTGAAAATAATATATTCTATGGTGACAAAGCCCTCTATGTTACACCTTAATCACAGTGGATCCTTGTTAAAGGCTGACTATATATACCATTTTTTTTTCCACAAAAGAAGACTTCTTGGGTCACCTGAGTCTAAAGGATGTCTATCCTTTCACTATTTCAAATCTAAAAGTCAAAGGGCTTAAAACCAAAGTCTTTTTTGAAGAAAGAAACTCAGTGGATGATTTTTCCCCACAATTCTAGAGTCAAATGATTAATAAATTGCTCCTATCAGAAGTATAGTTTGATTATTTTTTCTTTAAAGTGCTAATGAAGCCCATTATTTATACATGGATCTTCACTGTAATGACTGATACATAAGCAGCATAAAGTATATAGAAATTTATATCTAAATCATACAGTAAAAACTTTTTAGGTAAATACCAGCAATTCTATACATCATCTTAACAGTCATACACACTATTATATTTTATGGACTTGCCAGACTAATACAGTCAATCTAATGTAACTTAAAACATGACTGGTGAAAATCCAAAATATAAAGCTAGAATCAAAGCAGTCACAAGCTATTCTGAGACAAATGCCACAAACAGCAGTGCTCAGAAGAATTTCAAGTAATTTTTCAGTTTAATGAGAAACAGTTAAAATTGAACTTTTTCTTAACCCTTCTGAAAAAGCTGGCTTTATCCGGCTTAGATCCACATCCAATATTGTTTTTCTTTATATTAGCCCAGAGTTTTGAGTTATTGATATATTTTTATCAATAACACAGAAGTATGAGTCAGCAGCTTCTGAACTGCTCAGGTAGGAAGAATTAGGAAGTTACTAAAATAAAACATTTATTATTAGAAGACAAGATTAGATTAACTTTTAAAAAGTTAATATCATTTCAGTTAGATAACTTGAAAATGAGCCCCCATACAGTAATCTTATAATTAAGGCTATAAATTTAAGAGCCTGGTTTTCTACAGCATTGTAATTTGGAAAGTAGCATTCATCAGTATAACATATCATCATCACTAATACTCAAACATTAATACCACATTTTCAAAATTATCAGTTATTCATATGGAAATAGCAGCACAAACTAGTAATTTCTTTACCAAAAGTGTTACATTGGCGCCCTCTGGTGGTATCATTTAACACTCTCCCCTGATACCTTGTATCTTGTAAAGGTGAAGGTATTAAGAAGTACAAATTGGTAGTTATAAAGTAGTCACAGGGATGTATAGTATAGGAAATACAGTCGATAATATAATAACTATATATGGTACTAGGAAGCTACTGGGAATTTCAGTGGATCACTGTGCACAGTCCATGACTGTCTAACCACTATGCTATACACCTAAAACTAATACAAAATAATATTGAATGTAAACTTTAATTGAAAAATAAAATTTTTAAAAATTACATTTGTATTGGAGAATATAAAAATTAGAGACTACCACAAAGGAATGATTGTGTTTCAAATATATTTTTCAAACATTCAAACATTTTGGTACATAATAAATCCCTGATCTCTACTCCCAGGAATCAAGCTGACAACTACAGGAATCAGTGAATTTGTCTGAAAGGCAATTCCTGTTAAGAGATTTATATCTTGTTTCTGGAACTTAACTGAGAGGTTTTTGCATGCTCTAGTTTGGCTTTTACATCTATGGGTTTCTCAAAAAACCTCACCACTGCTGGTTCATTCAACAAAGAAGCAAGAATCTGTTCAAATGCAAATGACCACTGAGGTTCTTCCTTGAGCAAGGAGGGATCTTTCTCCAAGGGGATCTCTGTTTTCCCCTCACTGGGTCCTCTAGAAGCACAAACGATACCAGAGAATCCTTTGGCTGATGATGTAGGGCTATGAAGTGTCCTTCCAACTTCTTCCATTCTGAGCAAAAGGCTGGTTACAACAGCAATGGCTTGATATAACAACTCTTCTTCAGGGTCCCCATGAAATAAGTTATAAAGGGTCTTTGAAAACTGAATAAATTGTGACTAGAAAACACAAATTAGAAATACCGCATTTGATATTAGATTTAGCAAATATAAAGAAAACATATACTATGTAAATAGTCACCTATTTAGAATTTGTATATAACATTAACCAAAGAAGTAAAAGAAATTATAATTAATCCCCCAAATAAATCTTGCTTCTAGAAAGAGATATCAACCACAGAAAAATTCCATTTAAATCATCTCATTTGTTGCCCAATAGCAATATATTACTTTTAATTAGGCAAAGTCTCATATTTCCCTACATATAAATAATACATTCATTAATAAATCTAAATAAAATAATTAAGATAAGGTCGTTTGATCTACTTAAATAGGCAGAGTGAGCAGTTCAACTAGGATGCCTTAAAATTAGGAAAAAACGTTTTGGGATCTATCTAGTAGTACAAGGTAACTATAAAAAGCCCATTTGGACATGTTTCTCTTTAGAGGCTGAGGTGGGACTCAAGTGGAGAAATCAACTGGTTTGTTTGTCTCTAGATAATCATAGATATTCTTAAAAGATATCTGTCAATTAAAAAAAAGATTCTAGATGAAATGTAGAGAAGATGGCGGCAAGGTGAACACTGGTACGTGCTGTGTCTCACAACCACAGCAGAGCTGCGACTGGGATCTTATCTGAGACCTGAAAAGACCACAACTGTGGAGACCACAGAGCAGCTGTGGGGCCCCAACCAGTGCGGACACGCGGATTCCACAAAAAGGTTGGATTTTGCTGGGGATAACATGGGGTGTCTGTGTCCAGGCAGCAAGGGCAGCAGGTGCAGAGGCTGCGGCCGCTGTGGCTGCAGAGACAAAAGCAGGCGCACTGGGACCACGGAAATCTGTGTCCACAAAAGCCCCCCCCCCCCGTGTTGGGTCTGGTGAGATTCGAGAAAGTGGATGGGAGTCCCCAAAGTTGCTAATAGTGGGGTTCTCTAGGGAGCAACCCATTCTGATCAGACACGGAGGGAGAACACAGGAGTTGGAAAGGTTTTTGTCTGTTTGCAAGTGCGCGCAGAATGGCCCATCGTGCACACAGGCTGAATCCCCTACAACGCTTTGCTTCTGATTACAAAGGAGAGACCACCTAGATTGGCTGGCCCTGAGATACGACAGGGGGAAACTGCTTTTCTGGAAGCTGAGAAGCAGAGCAGGGAGAGACCATCTGGGATTCAGCTCCAAGGGAAAATCTGTATGGAGTGCCATAGAAAAAGAAGGCTAGATCAGCCAAAAAGACGGGGACATCAATCCAGAAGCACTGCCACCTAGGGGCTGGAGTACAAACTAACTATGTTTATTACTACTTTTATTTAATAAAAAACCAAGAAACTAAGAAATCGCCATCTTAAAAGTAAGCACTAGCTTACAACACTGAGGTGCAGCGGAATGCAGGAAACTGCAATACTGTCTGGACGGAGAAACAGGCGTGCCAAATGGAATAACGGAGGAAGTAAAAGGCCTTCACAACTGCACACTTTTTTTGGCTATTTTTTTAAATTTTTATTTTATTTTCATTTTTTGCATCTTTTACTTAAGAAACAATTTTTGTTTCCTTTTTTCCTCACTTGATTTTACCTTTTTAATTAGTACATTTTTAGGTTCAATCAGCATTACTACTGCCGCTATTTTAACTTTTTTGTTTCCTTTTTCTTTTTTTTAAGTGCCATTTTATTTTCTCTCTATTTTACATTGGAATTACTATTCTTCATTCTATTTTCATTTCTCCTTTAGCATCGTTTAACCCTATCTCAACACAACCTTTACACCATGACTCTCTTGCTAACCTTTCCCCTTTGGCTATCCTGTTTAATTTAACCCTTTCCTGCTGTAGATGTTCCCTACTCTTTCTGTCTCCTCCCCCTGCTAAAATTTCTACCTTACTTATATATCTAATTTTCAATCCCCTGTGCCAAGTGCATACACACCCCTCTCTGAGCTGTATTAACTAGCAAAAAAAAAAAAAAAAGTTTTCCTCTCTGTCTTTTTGATGCTGTTTGTGTGAATGTTGATTATATTGTATTTTTATGCGTTTTAGTGAAATTATTTTGCTTATTCTTTTGTTGTTGCTGTTGCTTGGTATTTTTTTGTTTGCTTTTTTTTACTTCTGTTTTCCCTTCCTTTGCTGGATATTAGTGGGTGTTGTAGTTTATATTATTCTCCAGGTACTGTTGCCAGCATTTCCAGAGGTTAGTGGTTGTTCTATTGAAATTATCTCCCCATATATATAGTTTGTTCCCCTTTTCTCTTAGTTTCTTTCTTCTCTCTCTCTCTCTCTCTCTCTCTCTCTCTCTCTCTCTCTCTCTCTTTGCTCCGTTTCCCGATTTCATTTTGACATTCCTTTTTTTCCCTTTTTCTTTTTTTCCTTCCCCCGTCTCTTTTTACTCTTCTTCTTTCTCTCCTATCCCCTAATTTGCCTTTTCCTAGTGGTCACCTTTATTGGAGGTTATTAATATCACAAATACATTTCTATTCAGTGCCTTGTGTGTTGTACCTGATTGTGCCATATTTTGTGCCTTTAAATCAATACAGGAGAGAGAGATCTACATAACCAGACATCCAGAAAAGAGATACAAAAACAAAAGAAAACAAAACAAAACAAAAACAAAACAAAACAAAAAAACAACAACAAAAAACAGCCCACAAATGAAAGAAGAGCAGGAATCACCAGAAAAGGAAGTAAACTAGTTAGAGGCAAGCAACCTACCAGAGCAAGAATTCAGAGTAATGATCATAAGATGGCTAAAAAGAATGGAAGAAAAATTTGACAATATGAGTAAGAACCAAGAGGAAATGAAGAAGAACCAAGAGGAAATGAAGATGAACCAAGAAGAACTGAAAAATGACATCGCTACCATGAAGAACTCAATAGAAAGCATCAAGAGTAGACTAGACGAAGCAGAGGACTACATCAGTGAGCTAGAACAAAGATGGGGGAAAAATACCCAATTAGATCAGCTTCTAGAAAAAAAAAAATTAAAAAGCAGGAGGAGAGCCTACGGAAACTTTGAGACAATACAAAACAAAACAATATGGGTTCCAGACAGAAAGAAAACTGAGGAAGGCATAGAAAAACTATTTCAAGAAATAATGAGAGAAAACTTTCCTGAGATAGAGAAGAAAAAACCCACACAAATCCAAGAAGCTTGCAGAGTCCCAAGCAAAATGAATCCCAAAAGACCAACGCCAAGGCACATTATAATTAAACTGGCAAACACCAACGAAAAAAAAAGAATTTTAAAAGCAGCCAGAGAGAGAAAGAAAGTTGCATATAAAGAAACCCCCATCAGACTAGCAACTGATTTCTCAACAGAAACTCATCGGGCCAGAAGGGAATGGGATGAAATATACAAAGTTATGCAAAGGAAGGGTCTGAATCCAAGAAGCTGTACCCAGCAAGGCTATCAATCAAAATTGAAGGTGAAATCAGGAGCTTCACAGACAAAAAAAAGACTAAAGGAATTTATGTCCACCAAACCAGCAATGCAAGAAATGCTAAAGGGTCTACTGTAAAAATAAAGAAATAGGAAGCGAAGAAGGAACACAGGGCTATAGAATAAAAATGGTGTCAAATGAGTACCTATTAATAATAACTTTAAATGTAAATGGATTAAATGCTCCAATCAAAAGACATAGGGTAACAGATTGGATAAGAAAACAAGACCCATACATCTGTTGTCTACAAGAAACCCACCTCAGAAAAAAAAAAAAGCATGCAGACTGAGAGTGAAGGGATGGAAAAAGGTTTTCCAGGAGAATGGAAAGGAAAAAAAAGCTGAGGTAGCAATACTTATATCTGACAAATTAGATCTCAGACTGAAGGACATAACAAGAGATAATGAAGACCACTTCATAATACTAAAGGGAACAATCCAACAAGAAGAAATAACCCTGGTAAATATATATGCACCCAATACAGGAGCACTCAAATACATAAAAAAAAAACCTGCTGGAGGACATTAAAGGAGAGATTAATAGGAATACAATCATAGTAGGAGATTTTTATACCCCAGTGTCACCTTTGGACAAATCATCTAAACGAAAAATAAACAAAGAAACATCAATCCAAAATGATGCACTAGACCAGATGGAATTAATCGACATCTTCAGAACATTCCAACCCAAAGCCACAGACTATACATTCTTATCAGGTACACATGGGTCATACTCAAAGATAGACCAAATGTTGGGACATAGGCAAAGTCTTTTCAAATTCAAGAAGATAGAAATCATATTAAGCATCTTCTCAGATCATAGTGGCATAAAACTGGAAATTAAATACAATAAAAATAATCCAAAGAAATCAAACACATGGAGACTAAACAGCATGCTATTAAATAAAGACTGGGTTACCAGAGAAATCAAGAAATAAATTAAAAACATCCTGACAACAAATGACAATGAAAACACAACAATCCAAAATCTATGGGACACAACAAAAGCAGTTTTGAGAGGAAAGTTCATAGCTCTACAAGCCTACTGCAAAAAGAACAAGAAAAAATGGTAACAAATTATCTAACTCTACAACTCAAAGAGTTACAAAAAGAGCAACAAGAAAAGCCCAGTGTAAGCAGAAGGAAGGAAATAATAAAAATCAGAGCAGAGATAAATGACATAGAGACAAAAGAAACAATACATAAGATCAACAAAACGAAGAGCTGGTTCTTTGAAAGGATAAACAAGATTGATGAACCTGTAGCCAGGTTAACCAAGAAACAAAGAGAGAGGACCCAAATAAACAAAATGAGAAACGAAAGAGGTGAAATAACAACAGTCCCTGCCAAAATAAAAAGGATTGTTACAAAATACTACTAACAACTCTATTTCAACAAACTGGACAACCTGGAGTAAATGGACATATTCCTAGAAAAATACAAACTTCCAAAACTCAATCAGGAAGAATCTAAAAATCTCAATAGACCAGTGACTTGGGAAGAAATTGAAACAGTCATCAAAAAGCTTCCAGCAAACAAAAGCCCAGGGCCAGATGGCTTCACAGGAGAATTTTACCAAACATTCAAGGAAGAACTAAAACCTATCCTCCTCAGACTATTCCAAAAAATTCAAGAGGAAGGAACACTTCCAAACTCCTTCTATGAAGCCAGCATCAACCTAATACCAAAACCAGATAAAAACAACTGAATGAAAGAGAATTACAGGCCAATATCCCTAATGAACATAGATGCCAAAATCCTCAACAAAATTCTAGAAAATCAGATCCAGCAGTACATCAGAAAGATCATACACCATGACCAAGTAGAATTTATTCCCAGAATGCAAGATTGGTACAATATCCGCAAAGCCATAAACGTGATATATCACATAAAAAAATTGAGAGAATTGATGCAGAAAAAGCATTTGATAAAATCCAACACCCTTTCCTGATAAAAACTCTCAACAAGGTGGGAGTACAAGGATCATACCTCAACATAATAAAAGCTATATATGATAAACCCACAGCCAACATCATACTCAATGGGCAAAAACTAAAACCATTCCCTCTAAGAACAGGAACAAGACAGGGATGCCCCCTCTCACCACTCCTGTTTGACATAGTACTGGAAGTACTAGCCATTGCAATTAGACAAGAGGAGGAAATAAAAGGCATCCAAATTGGAAAAGAAGAAGTAAAGTTGTCCTTATTTGCAGATGACATGATATTGTACATAAAAAACCCAAAAGACTCCATCAAAAAGTTAATTGACTTAATAAATGAATTTGGCAATGTAGCAGGATACAAAATTAACGCCAAGAAATCTATGGCATTTCTATACACCAATAGTGAACTTACAGAAACAGAGACAAAAAAGGCAATCCCATTTATTATACCATCGCACCAAAAAAATTATGATACCTAGGAATAAACTTAACTAAGGAGGTAAAAGACCTATACGCAGAAAACTACACGACACTGAAAAAAGAGATAGAGGAAGATGTAAACAGATGGAAGAACATACCATGTTCATGGATTGGTAGAATCAACATCACCAAAATGTCCATACTTCCCAAAGCAATCTATAGGTTCAATGCACTCCCCATTAAAACAACAATGGCATATTTCACTGACCTAGAAAAAACTCTCCAAAAGTTCATTTGGAACAATAAAAGACCCCGAATAGCCACAGCAATCCTGAGAAAGAAGAGTAAAGTAGGAGGGATCTCATTACCAGATTTCAAGCTGTATTACAAAGCCACTGTCAAAACAGCCTGGTACTGGCATAAGAACAGACATATAGATCAATGGAATAGAATTGAGAACCCAGATATCAACCCAAATCACTATGCTCAATTAATATTTGATAAAGGAGACATGAACATACAATGGAGTCAAGACAGTCTCTTCAATAAATGGTATTGGGAAAATTGGACAGATACATGCGAAAGAATGAAACTAGATCACCAACTTACACCATACACAAAAATAAACTCAAAATGGATACAGGACTTAAACATAAGACGGGAAACCATAAAAATACTAGAGGCATCCACAGGCAGCAAAATCTCAGACATATGCCAAAAGAACTTCCTCACTGATACTTCCCCTAGGGCAATGGAAGGTAAGGAGAAAATAAACAAATGGGACTACATCAAAATAAAAAGCTTTTTTACAGCAAAAGAAACCATCAACAAAACAACAAGAAAGCCCACTGTATGGGAGAACATATTTGCAAATGTTATCACTGATAAAGTTTTAATCTCCAAAATCTACAGACAGCTTATACAACTTAATAAAAGGAAGATAAATGATCCAATTAAAAAATGGGCAACGGATCTAAATAGAATCTTCTCAAAAGAAGACAGAAGGAAGGCCAAGAGGCACATCAAAACATGCTCAAAGTCACTCATTATCCGAGAGATGTAAATCAAAACAACAATGCAGTACCATATCACACCTGTTAGAATGGCCAAGATCAACAAATCAAGAAACGACAAGGGTTTGCGAGGTTGCGGAGAAAAAGGAACCCTCGTGCACTGCTGGTGGGAATGTAGACTGGTGCAACCACTGTGGAGAACAGTATGGAGCTTCCTCAAAAAACTGAAAATGGAACTCCCATTTGACCCAGTAATCCAACTCCTAGGAATATATCCCAAGAAGTTAGAAACATCAATCAGAAAGAATATATGCACCCCTATGTTCATAGCAGCACAATTTACAATAGCTAGGATTGGGAAACAGCCTAGGTGTCCATCAGCAGACGATCGAATCAAAAAATTATAGTACATCTACACAATGGAATATTATGCTGCTATAAAAAAGAAGGAATTCTCATCATTTGGAGAATTGGAGAACATCATGCTGAGTGAAATAAGCCAGTCAATGAAAGAGAAACACCACATGACCTCACTCATTTATTTATAATAAAGAACATTATAAACTGATGAACCAAAAGATAGATATAGAGACAATAAAGTAACAAGTAGACTGTCAAATTACAGCGGGGAGGGTAGGAAGATCTGAGAAATATAAGAGATCCACCAAAGGACTTGTATACATGCATATAAGTACAACCAATAGACACAAAACTCTGGGGAGGGAGGGCATATGTGGGAGGGGGCGCAATGGTATATGTACAGAGATAATAATTTAATTAAAAAATAAAAAATAAAAAAAGATTCCAACACAAGAGTCCTATATGTCAATCCTACCAGAAAAGTTTATCCGCAAATAAAGAGCAAATACAAAGGATGTACTTCATAAAAATATTTTTTTCCACCCAGTATAGCTCAGTTGGTTGGGCAACATTTCATCCCATGCACAAAAAGGTTACTGGTTCAATTCCCTGATAGGGGATGTGCAGGAGGCAGCCAATTGATGTTTTGTTCTCAGCTCTCATGTCGATGTTTCTCTCTTTCTCCCTTCCTCTCTCTCTAAAAATAAACAAAAATATTTACCCCTCAAAATTAGATACACACACACACACATTGTTCAAAACTTTTAAGTTCATTTCTTTTTTCCTAACTCTATCTACAGTACTATTTCTAAGAATTTTAGAATAAATACATCTTATTGATTCATTTTCTAAAAGTACTTAATTCAACTATCAAATTACCAAGTCCACTGAGAAATACTAAGCTATTTGATGGTTCTCATTTTAATAAAGTTCTGGGAATATTAAGGATCTATACTAACATTTTAATAAAAATATAATAACATATAACATATACTGACTAAATACTTTGTAAGAAAGAGATAGATTTAGAATTGTGTCAATACTACTCATTTAGCAGGTTCAAATACAAAATGATTAGGAACTAGGGTGTGACTTATCTTAGTAATTTCTTATTCATAGTACCTAGCACTGTTTGTCATCTATAAACACTAAAAATGTGTACCGAACAGATAAAAATTTCTAATAAAGATGGAAATAGAAAATACTGAAATATGTTATACACATCCATCTTTTCTGTAGGAACAAATGTCATAACATAGAAACTACAGTGAAACACTAGATGTATTTAAGTATTAAAAATAATTTGATCCCATTCATCAGTACTCATCTGCAGCAGAAATAATACACAGATGATTTAAATATTTTTGTAATAGCATGTTAGCTACTTTAGAGTTGGATATACACACATTCATAAAAATATCATTAAAAACCTAGAATTTTTTCTTTGAAAGCACTATACCTGTTTCATTCTTGGTAAATCCTTAATGTTTTCTTCTTTTTTGCAAAGCTCATCTTGCCATTGACTAAGATATGCTTGAATATCAATTTTTCCTTTGCCTGAATGAGAATAAAACCATTTTCATAGTTATAATTTTCATAATAAACAGCCTACTACATTTTCTGAAATCTCAAAAAAATTATCATCAAAAGATATTTCACTGAGTTATAAGATTCTACCTTTTTCTTTAATCCAGCAAATCACCTGAATTAAACTTTTATTTCACCTAGTGGTTCTCAGGACACTTCTCCATTTTCATTAAACTGAGACTTTTATTTTGGGGACTAGGGAATATTTAAAGCAAAATTGAGAAGGATGCATTTTATATTAAACAGTACACCCTGACTTGATGATGTAAATTTCATGTAGAGCTGAAACCGGTTTGGCTCAGCCTGTGAACTCAAGGGTCCTGGGTTCAATTCCGGTCAAGGGCATGTACCTTGGTTGCGGGCACATCCCCAGTGGGAGGTGTGCAGGAGGCAGCTGATCAATGTTTCTCTCTCATTGATGTTTCTAACTTTCTATCCCTCTCCCTTCCTCTCTGTAAGAAATCAATAAAATATAAAATGTCTTTCTTTCTTTAAAAATAAATAAATAAATAAATAAATTTCATGTAGATATTTTCATGCATACTATGAAGTTTAAAATACCTTCTATATACAAATATTAATTGGTCTATGATGGCTCTTTTGGAAAATTCAAAACACAACTTATTTATTCATTCATTTAAAGAGTTTAATTATGCTGCTGTAAAAGAAGGAACTCCTACCATTTACAACAGCATGGATGGAGCTGGGGAGCATTAGGCTAAGTGAAATAAGCCAGCCAGAGAAAGATAAATATCACATGATCTTAATCATTTGTGGATTATAATGAACTACATAAATTGCTGAACAAAAACAGACTCAGAGATGGAGAAGCATCGATCAGATGCTCAAACCTCAGAGGGAAGGTAGGGGAGGGTGGGGATAAGAAGGGAGGTCAACCAAAAGACTTGTATGCATGCATATAAGCATAATCAATGAACAGAGACAGCAGGGAGTAAAGTGCATGCATGGGAGTGGTGTGGGGGGCAATGGAGGATATTGACACATAGGTAATACCTTAATCAATAAAAAAATCAGATTAAAAAAGATATTAATATGATTTTATTAATAATTATCAAAATATTAAATGTGCCTATTACTTGAGACCTAGTATTCTCATACTAATATGAACTTGTCCTATCCTGAAGAAATATGTGAAAAGTATATTAAAATATAAGAATAAAATGTCTATTACAGAATTTATAACCTAAATATCCATCAATATTGGGCTAGTTATTAAAATAAATTATAGTACAAGGATCCAGGACAGAAGTGGAATAGGTGGAAGTTACACTCACTTCCTCCCAAGTCTAAACTGGAATTACAAGTCAATTATAGAAAAAAAAAATCCTAAATAACTAACAGAAGACTAGCTGAACGTAAGTCTTATAACCAAGGATTTACAGAAGAAACCACATCGAGACTGGTAGGAAGGACTGGGATGTGAAAAGGGCTGGCCCTGCACCCATGGGTGGTGGCTGAGAATCCAAAGGATATCTCAGCTGCAAAGGTCCCCCCTGAGGAGTGCGGGGTCTCAATCCCATGTAGGATCCTCAGCCCAGAGTACCAGAGCCTAGAAGAGGAAGTCACATAACATCAGACTTTGAAAATCAGCGGGATTCTGTCCACTAGGGAGAGACAGAAGTCCACTAGACACAGGCATCCTCTTAAAGGGCCAGTGCACAAAATCTTGTTTATAGCCACTAACCCTGGGCTCCAGTCTAAAAGGATGGAACAGACTACATTGTGTGAGACTAAACCAGGGTTTGTGGCTCTGGCAAGAGAACTGAAGGAGTGTCACCAGGATTGCTGTGCTGAATCATTCTCTCACACCACAGATACCATCTTTCTTGGGTGGAACACTCCATTTTTTATGGCATCAGCCTGAGGGAACTCCCTATTGCCCTGTGGTGGAAGAGTCAACTACCTAGGCCCGAGATATTGAGGTCCAGGCAGACTTATGGTGTGCCAAAGTGTGAGTTGTGTGTCTCTGGAGCAGAAGCCATTCACACTTTCCAGAGCTTAATTGGCACCACCCTTCCCCCATGGGACATCCACTAGCCTCACACTCTCTACCCCCAGGGTAGCCCTGCCCTACCAAGCTTGGGCTCTCCAAAAAGTCAAAGCAGAATCAAAGACTGAGTTGTGTGGCTCTAGGAAGGGGATCATTTTTCCCTCACACACCTGACTATTGCACAACCTTCCTTCACAGAGTCAAATCTTGGTCTGTTTGAGTCTGATAAACTCTGCCTCTGCTGGCCTCCCCTTGATGACTCTCTGAGACCCTGCTCTACCACAAATATCTGCAGGCTACTGTTAGATGGAAGATGGCCTTGGTGTACCCTGAGACATTTGCTGAGTGGCCTCAGACCCAGCACTAAGTTTGAATTTGTATAAACCTGGTGAACACTACTTGCCCCTACCTGGTGACTCACTGAGAATGCAACTAGCGTTCTATTGTGCCACCAAAGGCTTTTTCAGTGACTGAGCCTAAAAGGCAGCTGGCAAACAAAGGTAGAAATTGGGGTGCTTTGGACCGTTTGTTGATATTTCTGCCCATGACCTTTGTAGGTGGAAGCCAGGTTTGGTGTACAGTTTGGTCCCTCCCATGTGCACTCAGGCCCAGGAGAGACAGCCAAAAACTGTGGATTGCTCTGTAGTTCCAGATAGCCCAGGGCTGGGCACAGACAGTGCCTGACATTGACCTGCACCAAATTCCCTCAGAAGAGGTCCCAGAACCAATACATCCTGTGGCAGTATTAAGACTATATCAGAGCACAATTCAACTATCTCCACAATTGGCACACCCAAAGGGAGATCTTGGTAGGCACCAGACTCTGCTGGGTTGAATTCCACTTCATGAGATCATACAACAGCAGTTTATGCACTCTGATCGGGGTTGATCTTCATAGTCAGCCAGCCCAAGAGCCCACCCGACTCATAGGTGGACTGAGAGAAATTAAGATTCAACTACAACAGGAGGCTTCACATAAACCATAAAAGGGACATTCCCAGAGCACCTAGCTTAAGTGATTAGGGAGACAACTCCACTAAGCCCCTCAAGATACCTACTGCCATATCAAGAATGGGAGATATAGAAGATCTACCTAATACACAGAAACAATTATAGAGAGATAGCAAAAATAAGGAGACAAAGAAACATATGCCCCATATGAAAGAACAAGAGAAATATGCAGAAAAAAAGAACTAAATAAAATGGAGACAACCAATATACCAGATAAAGAGTTAAAAAAATGGTTATGAAGATGACCAATGAACTTATGCAAAAATAGATGAAGTGGGAGAGAATGAAAAGAGATAGTAAACATAAAAAGGACATAATTACCATTAAAAACAGTCAGAAATGAGGAATACAATATTTCAAATTAAGAATACATGAGAAGGAACCAACAACAGGCTAGATGAAGTAGAGGACTGAATCAGCAGTTTGGAAGACAAGGTAGCATTAAACACCTAACCAGAGCACTGAAAAAAAAATCATTAAAAAAATATTAGGATAGTTTGGGAAACCTCTGGGATAACACAAAGCATAACAACATCTGCATCATAGAGGTACCAAAAGGAGAAAAGAGAGAGCAAGGAATGTAGAACCGATTTGAAGAAACAATGACGCAAAACTTCCCTAACCTGGTGAAGAAAAAAGACATATAAGTGCAGGAAGCCCAGAAAGTCCCAAACAAGATAAATACAAAGAGAGCCACACCAAAAGTTAAAGGCAAAGAATCTTAAAAGCATCAAGAGAAAATCAGTTAGTTAACTACAAGTTGCTCCCATAAGTCTATCCACTCAAGAGAAACATTTTAGGCCAGAAGGGACTGGCACAAAACATTCAAAGTGATGAAAAGCAACCACCTACAATCAAGACTATTCTGTCCAGCAAAGCTGTTACAAAAGTATGAATAATAATTGGCAACAAATACATATCAACAATTATTTTAAATGCAAATGGATTAAATGTTTTAATCTAAAAACATATGATGGCTGAATTAAGTGACAAAATGACCCTTACATATGCTGTCCATAAGAGACTCACGTCAGGCGTAAACACATACACGAAAGTAAAGGGATGGAAAAAAGGAACTTCATGAAAATGTAAAAAAAACAAAAACAAAAACAAAACAAAACAAAAAACCACACACACACACACACACAAAAAAAACTGGGATAGGAAGACTTATACCAGACAAAATGGTCATTAAAACAAAGGCTGTAACAAGAGATAAGGAAAGATCAAGCAATTCCACTTTTGGGTATTTATAAAAAAAAAATCCAAATCACTAAATTGAAAAGACATATGCATCCCTATGTGTATTGCAGCATTATTTACAATAGCTAAGATATGGAAGCAATCTAATTATCCATCAGTAGATGAATGGATAACAAAGAAGCAGTACATATATATACAAGGAAATATGACTCAGCCATAAAAAAAGAATGAAATCTTGCCATCTGCAACAACATGGATAGGCCTAGGGGGTATTGTACTGAATGAAATAAGTCAGACAGAGAAAGATAAATACCATATGATTTCACTTATATATTGAATCTAAAGAGCAAAAGAAATAAACAAACAAAATAGAAACAGACTCACAGACACAGAGAAAACACTGATGATTGCTAGAGGGTTGGGGATTGAGTGAAAAAGGTGAAGAGATTAAGAAATACAAATTGGTAGTTACAGAATAGTCATGGGGATGTCAAGTACAGTGTAGGATATATAGTTAAAAATACTATAAAAAATATGTATGGTGTAAGATGGGTACTATATTTAAGGGGGTGAACATTTCATAAGTTATATAAATATGTAACCACTAGGTTGTATGCCTGAAACTAACATAATATTGTACATCAACTATAATTAAAAAATTAAAAAACATTAAGTTAAATTAAAATGTCATATAAAAAAAGGGAAATCTGCCTTTCCCCTTTGCTTAAAAAACCCCAATAATTTAAATTATATTCTAGATCATAGTACCTTTTTCAGGGCTATGTTTTGCTGATACTGCTTCCTTCCCACCTGCAGGCTTGGAAACTAAAAGAAAAGAGGACAATTGCAATTTGTAAACTATTTAACAAATAGCTTTTATAAAATAATATTTTATATTAAGATTTTTTAAAAACATTATTTTATTTAATTCAGCAAACCAATTTTAGCTGACCTGGCCCCCTATCATTAGAAGACAAAGTATTCAAACCCAGCTGGAATGGCTCAGTTGGTTGAACTTTGTCCCATGCACCAAAAGGTTGCAGGTTTGATTCCTGGTCAGGGCACATACCTGGGTTGTGGGTTTGATTCCCAGTTGGGGAGCATACAGAAGGCAACTGATCAATATTTTTTTCTCTTTCTCTCTCTCTCTCTCCTCCTTTCTCTAAGCATGTCCTTGGGAGAGGATTTAAAAAAAAAAAGAAAGAGAAAGTATTCAAAAACTTCTATAGTAATAAGAACAGTAGGGGGAAATCCATATGAAAAAATACCTAGGAAGAAGTATAACAAATATTAAGTATGTATTTCTGGTTGGTATTTTCTTCTTTTTCACTTTAGTCAAATTAAATATTATTTATTTTATTATGAAATAAAACATACTGGAAGTTAAGAAGACTGGGCTATTAGTCCTGATTGTGGCAATGACTCATTGTGAAATCTTGCAGAAGTCACCACTTCTTTCTGGACCTCAGTGCCCTTATCTATGTAATTAAGGGACTGACTAGACGACTTATTAGGTCTCTTCAAATTTTATGTTCAAACACTAACATGCAGTAAACATACATTAATCAGACATATTCCTCTATAAGACATTCATATTTATGAAAAAGGACACAAAATAAACTCATAATCCTTCCAAATTATGTCTTGGAGACAGATTCACCTCTGTCTCCTAAACCTACAATTATTTATAGTAAGTATTTACTGTTTGAATAATAGCTATTACCTTCAATAATCAAAGATTCTATTGCCTTCATTGTATTTTTAACAAGGCATGGAAATGATCTGATATATTTTAGAAATTTCTGCAACGTAAGTGGGAACAAACTGCATTTTCTTTCTAATTCTCCAGTAAATAAGAAATTCCATGCATCAAAACCAAAATGCAATTTAGTCATTCAAATGTTTATGGAGTATTTACCATGCAGTTAGCATTGTGCTAAGTGCTGGGGTAGCACAAAAGAATCATAAGGTATAATTACCCAAATTTTACTAGTGGTAACTGGGTAAAGAATATTAAAGCCAGGAAGATCACTATTGAGTGAGTAATTATCAAACAGATATATTTTGAACAGATATTTACCATGGAGCTGACTGAAATAAAGTAATTCTTCCTCGGAAAGTTCATCTCCCTTTGAAGGGTCCTTCAATTTCACTTCAGTATAAGCTGAAAACAGATTACCCAGATCAAATTTATTAACAATGAGGAATAGAAACAGTTCCTTTAACAGCTCAAGTAAATCTGGGGGCAGAGATTTAGTAACAAAAGGGTTTCTGTAAAAGACATATGAAGAAGTGTGGAAGTAGTACTACTCTATTGTGTAGCAAGTAACAGGAAATACTTGATCACTTTGAGTTCTATTATTCCTCCTACTTACGTTTTTTATAGTTTTCTGAGAGCCATTACAAGTTGAAATAAGAATCTAGCATTTGGAAATCTCTAAAATGTGACCTCAATTATTTAAAAACAACTTCAAAAATAAGGAAAACATGAAGTTCAGTGCTCTAACAGATATGTAATGTTCTTTCTATTTTTAATCCTCCTACTAAAAACATATTTATTACATGATAATATTAGACATTTTAATGGCAACTTGACTTAGTAATGAAATTTCTTCATAATTAAACTATTTGGTATTTTGTCTCTTGTTTTTAATGCTGTGTTTGTGATCTGAGTGTGTAAAGAGTTAAAGATGGCTTTAAGATTCTTGGTTTGGTTAAAAGCATGGTTCCTGGCTATCCTGGGAAGACTAAAAGAGTTCCCAAGTATAGCTTTAGACAGTGCTATTTGTTTTTGTGAGTTACCTAAGTTAAAAGATACTTTTGTAATGTCCCTTTAGTTGAAAGCCTAAGGCTGTTTACACAAAATATGGATCAGGCCTAGAAAAGTCAGCCTCTTAAGGTTAGGGGGAAACACTTAAGGGTCTAGTAATAATTAATGTCGTTTTAACATTTAAAATCTTGCTTGGCGTTGACTTGTATTGACATAACCTTCAAACACGTGGGAACGTGTGAAGTGCAGTTAACAAGTTTTGCTTGAAAAAGTTTGTGTTTGGTTTGGTTTTTGTTGCAAAACTAGGGCTAAGAAGATGGCGGATGAAGAGCATATTCGGCACTGCATGCTTTACGAGTTCCAATTAGGAAGAAAAGCAAGTGAGGCTGCAAAAAACATCTGTAGTGCTCTTGGTCAAGATGCAGTTAGTGCCAGAAAATGCCAGCGTTGGTTTGAGAAATTTCGCGAGGGAAATTTTTCGTTAGATGACAAGAGTGGTCGAGGCCGTGTGTCCAATTTTGATCAAGAAGCTCTTCAAGCCGGGACCGGTTTAGCTCAATGGATAGAGCATCGGCTTGGGGACTGAAGGGACCCGGGTTCGATTCCGGTCAAGGGCATGTACCTTGGTTGCGGGCATATCCCCAGTAGGGGGTTTGCAAGAGGCAACTGATCGATGACTCTCTCTCATTGATGTTTCTAACTCTCTATCTCTCTCCTTTCCTCTCTGTACAAAATCAATAAAATATATTTAAAAAAAAAAAAAAAAAAAAAAAAGAAAAAAAAAAAAGAAGCTCTTCAAGCTCTTTTGGTGCAAAATCCTCAAATTACCCAACAAGAGCTTGCGACAACTTTAAATTGTTCACAAAAAACAATTTCCAATCAATTGCGTGCACTTGGTAAAGTCCAAAAGTTTGGAAAATGGGTTCCTCATGAGTTGACCGACAACAACCGTAATCAAAGAGTCACAATTTGCAGTTCGCTCCTCTCTCGTCAAAACCGTTTGCCGTTTTTAGAGCAAACTGTTACCGGAGATGAAAAATGGGTGTTGTATGTTAATTTGAAAAAGTGGCCTCAATGGTTGGACAAAAATGAGGCTCTGCAGCCCACGCCAAAAGATGACTTGCATGCGAAAAAAGTGATGTTGTGTGTTTGGTGGAATTTTAAAGGAATTCTTCATTATGAACTTTTACCATCTACCCAAACCATTACAAGTGCAGTGTATAGTGCCCAATTGGAAAGGTTAGCCCAAGCTTTAAGAGAAAAAGAACACGCGCTGATTAATCGGAAGGGCGAAATTCTTCACCACGATAACGCACGACCATATACTGCAAGAATCACTGCTGAAAAACTGCGCCAGTTGGAATGGGAAGTTCTCCCTCAACCTGCATATTCTCCTGATATTGCCCCTTCCGATTACCATTTGTTTCGTTCTTTGCAAAACTTTCTTCTTGGAAAAAAATTTAATAATGAAGAATGCCTCAAAAATGCATTGACCAAATTTTTTGCATCAAAATCACAAGAATTTTACAACAGAGGGATTAAAATGCTTCCTGAGCGTTGGGCACAAGTAGTAGAAAACAACGGCAACTATATTGTTGATTAAATTTTGTTGTATTGTTTAAATAAATTCGATTTAAAAAAGTATTAGAAAACGACATTAATTATTACTAGACCTAATAAACTGGAATGGTCGAGTAACATGGAGGCAGTGTAGTAGGAGAGACAAAGACATGAGCTCTGGAGTCAGAACTCCGTTTGAATCTCAGCTATGTGATCTTTGGCAAGTAATTTAATATTTCTGACCTTTAGTCTCCTTATTGTCAAAATCGAAAGTATAACACCACCTTGCATAAATATTATGAGAATTAAATATAAGAATGCATGTAAGATAAATGCCTTGACAGAACAAGTGCTCACTCAATAAATGGTAGCTTTTACTTTGTTTCCTTTTCCAAATGTTTACTATCACTGCCCTGGTCTCATTTTTTTCTGAATAATTTGTACCATTTCACAAGTTTGGCAGTTCGTTTAAAGTTAAATTCTACTCTCTAATGACAACAGCAGCAAAAATTCAACTTTACACCAATATTCAAATGTTAGGTAGTTCTTATATACAAACTATCATTAAATTGATAGGCCACTAACAGGAGGGAAATTTGTGAACCTATATGTTATACAGATTATCTTCCATAGATTTCACTGTATTTTTATATCAGTAAAAATACTGGTAGTATTATCCATGGGCCACAATAAAGGAATAACCTTATATACTGAATACTGCTATTTGTTAAAATGAAATTATATCTGTAATTATACTTGTTAAAAGGGAGTCAATTACTAAACATCATTAAAGATGTCAAACTCACTGAAACCAGTTCGGCTCAGTGGATAGAGTGTTGGCCTGTGGACTGAAGGGTCCAGGTTTGATTCCGGTCAGGGGCATGTACCTTGGTTGCGGGCACATCCCCGGTAAAGGGTGTGCAGGAGGCAGCTGATTGATGTTTCTCTCTCATCGATGTTTCTAACTCTCTATCCCTCTCCCTTCCACTCTGTAAAAAATCAATAAAATATATTAAAAATAAAAAGATGTTAAACTCTTACCTGGAGGAATATGCAGCTTAAAAAGTAGTTTAAGCTTCTCAGTAAAACTTCCATTGTACATTATGTCTGTTCAATAAAATTTAATTGCAAATAGTCACATATTCAAATGACATTTAATCAACTCCAGCAATGCAGATTAAGATACAGATATTAGTCAAGAATTAAAATTCAGAAACCTTCTATTACTTAAGCTAACAGTTAAATAAACACCCAGTCAGCTAGATCTTCTCCTTCTGGTGTGTAACCAAAATCCTCTTTATCAAGGGATAAAATGCTCTTCTGCTGATCTCCCTTCCCCAAAATTTCTTTTTTTCTTTTCCATGGGGCCTATGCCTGATTTGAGGAGAAAATTCTTCAAGGGACAATCCCTGACAAGAAAGCATGCTGGAGTGTTGTAAAAGAAAGGAATGATAAAACTAGTAGCCTATTTCTAGGTACATGTTTGTTGGATGTTTCTCTACTACTTTCCTTAGCTATGTGGTTGGATTTTTATTGAAGGAGAAAGTTCTCTTCATGTTAACTTTAAAACATCCATATCTAACAATTTGCATTTTTGGAAGGATAGGGACAAAATAAGACCAATATACTCAGACTTAGCAAGAAACACAGAAAAAAAGTCCAGTTATTGCTAAAGCTGGAGACAATATAGCTCCAGCTGATAAAAATCTGACTAAAGCTCATCTAGTGTGGCTCAGTGGTTGAACATTGACCTATGAACCAGGAGGTCATGGCTCAATTCCTGGTCAGGGCACATGCTTGGGTTGCAGGCCTGATCCCTAGTGTGGGGTGGTGCAGGAGGCAGCTGATCAATGTGTCTCTCCCAACATTGATGTTTCTATCTATCTCTCCCTCTCCCTTCTTCTCTGAAATCAGTAGAAATATATATATTTTTTTTTTTTTTTTTTTTTTTTTTTTTTTTTTTTTTTTTTTTTTTTAAAATATATTTTATTGATTTTTTACATAGAGGAAGGGAGAGAGATAGAGAGCTAGAAACGTCGATGAGAGAGAAACATCGACCAGCCGCCTCCCGCACACCCCCTACCGGGGATGTGCCCGCAGCCAACGTACATGCCCCTGACCGGAATCGAACCCGGGACCCTTCAGTCCACAGACCGACGCTCTACCACTGAGCCAAACCGGTTTCGGCAGAAATATATATATTTTTAAAATCTGACTAAATTAGCAGTAATAGGTAGTACAAATATTTTTTTGGGGTCCCTTTATTTTTTGCTTGAAAACAGAAAATTATTCGACATTATCTTACCAATTGCAGAAGAGAATTCTTTGAAGTTGATAAGGCAGTCAGAGTTTTCATCCAACAATCGGAATGTCCATAAAGCTAGTGAGTCTCTGTTTGCAGAAGGAGCCCAGGGACTCAACAAGTGATATAACACTCGGAACTGCTGGCAATCAATCTGATACTGTTCTAAATATGGCAAACTGGGGTCATGGTGCTTCAATACTGGACAACTCAAACACCAATAATAAGAAAAAAACAGCTCTTTCTATTAAAAACAAATAAAAAAGGCAAGTCATTAAATCAGCAAAAGTAATTTTATAAGTTTTGTCCTTTTAAGCATGCTTACTAAAATAAAGATAAAAATATTTAAGAGTAGTTATGGTAAAAAAAATATATATATATATATATATATATAATACAAGAATATTATTTTTCACTTAAAGAACAGTACCTTAAAGATGATATAAAGTTCATCCAATTCATGAAGGCTCAATTTCACATCTTGTGATACAACACGTAACTTTAAAAAGATTAAAAGCAATTTAGAATTTAACACGTCAGTATAAAAATTCTTTTTGAATCCATTTAGAAATCTCCCTCTGCCAGAGTAAAATATTTTCCTTCCAACTTTTAAAAGGAATGACAAATGTAAATGCACCTAGGTTGCCCTTTAAAAAGGTTGTACATAGAAAACAGTTGAATTCTACTCTGATAAGTCCAAAAAATATGAGTCAGTAACTTGGCCATTTAATAAAGCAATATAAACAAACCCACAGCTTTTACATACAGAGCAATAAACAAATTGGAAAACACAAAGGAAAAAATGTATTATTTATATTGGCAACAAAACCATCAAAAGCAAAGGAGTAGCCGGGACCGGTTTGGCTCAATGGATAGAGCGTCGGCTTAGGGACTGAAGGGTCCCGGGTTCGATTCCGGTCAAGGGCATGTACCTTGGTTGCGGGCATATCCCCAGTAGGGGGTGTGCAAGAGGCAGCTGATCGATGACTCTCTCTCATCGATGTTTCTAACTCTCTATCTCTCTCCCTTTCTCTCTGTATAAAAATCAATAAAATATATTTTAAAAAAAAAATAAGCAAAGGAGTAGATAAACCCAACAAGAAACATATAAGACCTATTTGGTGAAAACTATAAATACTAAGGACAGTTAAAAAGACACCATTAAAATAAATATTAAAAGCTTTAAAATATTTTATTAATTTCAGAGAGGAAGGGAGAGGAAGAGATAGAAACATCAATGATGAAAGAGAATCATTGATCAGCTGCCTTCTGCACGCTCCACACTGGGGATCAAGCCCGCAACTTGGGCATGTGCCCTGACCAGGAATTGAAGCATGACCTGGTTCACAAACTGATGCTCAAACACTGAGCCACACCAACCAGGCCCATTTTTTAATTGGATTGTTTGTTTTTCTTTTGTTGAGTTGTATGAGTCCTTTATATATTTTTGAAATTAACCCCTTATCAGATCTATCACTGGCAGTGGGTCCCCTTTTTATTTTGATGCTAGTTTCTTTTGCTGTGCAGAAATTTATATCATCAATAAATCAACAAACAAGTTCTGGCGAGGATATGGAGAAAAAGGAATCCTAGTACACTGTTGATGGGAATGCAGACTGGTACAACCAATATAGAAAACAATGTGGAGTTTCCTCGAAAAGTAAAAAATTAGAACTGTCATTTGACACAGTGATCCCACTTCTAGGAATATATCCTAAGATGCATGAAACACCAATCAGAAAGAATATATGCACCCTATGTTCATAGCAGCATTATTTACAATACCCAAGACCTGGAAATAGCTCCAGTGCCCACCAGTAGAAGAACAGATAAAAAAAAAATCTATGGTACATTTACACAATGGAATACTATAAACTGTAAAAAAAGAAAGATCTATTACACTTTGAGACAACATGGAGGGACCTGAAGAATATTACGCTTAGCCAAATAAGATAGAGAAAGACAGGTATCACGTGATCTCATTTAGATGTGGAATCTAATGAACAAAATAAACTTAACAAAAAAATAGATACAGAGGCATGGAAGCATGCAACAGACTGACTAATCTCAGAGGGAAGAGGGTGGAGAGGTGGGAAGAGATTGACCAAAGAATTTATCTTATCTAATAAAGGGGGAATATGAAAATCATCACACTGTTACAAAGATGGTGGTGCCCATAGCCACACAAGATGGTGGCGCCCAGTTCCCTCAGCCCCACCAGAGTCCCCCAGTCCTTTCAGCCCTGTGGGGGGAGGGGGAGCAGGCGTGTGGTGTGGCCGGATCTGCCCTCAGCCCCCCAGCCTCTCAGAGCTGGGCTGAGTTGCAGGCAAAGCTTGGATGGTAGCTGCCCAGCTGACGCCCAAGGCATGGGCAAGCTTTGGATGTTGGCTGCTCAGCCGCCTAGGGCCAGCCCAAAGCACAGGGAAGCCTTGGATGTCTATTTCCCAGCCAACACCTAAGGCATAGGCCAGCCTCAGATGTCAGTTGCCCAGACAACACCTGAGGTGCAGGTAAGTCTTGGATGTCGGCTGCCCAACCACCAAGGGCAGGCCCGAGGTGCAGGCAAGCCTCAAAGCTCAGGTAACCAGGGCTAGCTGAGGCTTGCACTGCCAGCAGTGGCAGCAGCAGAGGTATGATGGGATCGCCTTCCCCTGACCGGTTCCTGCCCCTGAGGGCTCCCATACTGTGAGAGGGGGCAGGCCGGGCTGAATTTTCATGTACCCAGCCTCTAGTATGCATATATGCATAACCCATGGACACAGACAATAGTGTAGTGAAGGCCTGGGGAGGAGACAGAAGTGGGGAGAATGGGGTCCAAAAAAGGGGAGACGTCTATAATACTTTCAACAACAAAGATAATTTTTAAAAAGATATATGGGGCTTTAAAGTCAAATAAATTTTAAACTATCCTTAAAAATTAGAGTATTTAAAAATACTGTTTTAGACATTTCCCCCTTTATCTTAGTATTCAAGATAATAATATACATTAGCAGCAATGACTACTATGTAGGTCAGCTGTTCTTATTGACAAAGCACATCACAAATATGCTTTGTTTAAATGCCTATATCATAGTATTCATTACTTAAGGTCAAATAACACAAAACATGTTAGTGGAACCAAAATAATGAACTGGGTGAAAAAGGTGAAGAGATTGAAAAGTACAGATTAGTGACAAAATAGTCATGGGGATGTAAAGTACAGTATAGGGAATACAGTCAATATTACTGTAATTACTATAAATGGGTACTGTAAATATCGGGAGAAACATTTTATAAAGTATATGATTGTCTAACTACTATGCTGTACACCTAAAACGAATATAAATAATATTAAATATAAATTGTGATTGAATAAAATACAGAAAGCAATTCCCCCCCAAAAGAAAATAACTTATTTCCTCTCAAAAATTTATAATAAACTAAGTTGTAGCAAGAATCTACCTAAAAACTTTAGTTTGTCACATTTTCTTTACAAAGAATGATAATTTTTAAAAGGAAATTGAAGAAAAAAATGGTCACTCTAACTGGTATCTCCCCATTGGGTGGTGGTTACTCACCACATTCTGCTTTGTTGTTTCCTCTAGAGTCTGTATCACATACAACCTATTTCGACAGCGCATGCTGTGTATATCTTCACAATGAATATTACCATATTTCTGCAAGAAACATGATTTTGGTAAATACTCATTAATAATAAACGTCCACTTCTCTTACAAGTAAATTTCATCAGATTCAATTTCTAGAGGCTTTCGTTCTCTTTCTAGCTACTTTCTTAACTTGTTCAATGATTATGCAAATTTTCACCTCCACATTTCATTTTCTCTACATATTCACTGGAGAAAATTCCATCTACTATGTGTCAAGAATAAGTACAAGAACATTAGTAAAATTCTTAGTATCTAAGAAGAGAATAATTTTCTCCTTTTTATACAGTGACAGATATTTAAAAGTGATAATTATTTTTGAAAGCAAGTGATAACTTCATTTAATGAAAAGCAAATGGAAGTGGAGGCTACATGACCTAGGAACAGTTCACAGAATTCATTGTTAAAGTGAAGTCGTATTTTAAAATTATATCTTTACTTGTATTATTACCTTACTATAACTATAGTATCAATTATTTTAAATATGCTAAGTAATTATATATTTATATTAAAAACTTACCTCATTTGACTCTCTAATCAAATCTGTAATATCCACTCTAATATGACTGCTTTTTTCATCACTCACATTTGAACCCTGCTGAACACTTGAAGGCAATGGACTATCCTTATTAGTGATACTGTCAAAGAACCTATCCAAAAGTGATAGTAATACAAGAATTAGTAGAAGTAAAATACTGAGAAATGACAGCTAAACTCTCCATAGTTAGTCAGAGGTTAGTGTCAACTGAAAGGACAAGGGACAGTTTTATGAAGAAGTAAAATTTGAAGGTGGTTTGGAATTAGGAAGACAGGGGAATGGGGAATGGGATGGGGAAGTAATTATTTCAGAGGTAGAGAGTAGAGCATGATGGAAACAAACAGGCTCAGAGTAGTCTGAGAGTACTCAGAAAATACAATACAATAGCCCAGAAAGGATATGTAGAGGAATGTAAGGAGAAATAAGTTAAGAATAGGTACATCGAAGCCTTAACATAGTGAGTTCTAAATGTTAGAGTGAGGTAGTTATAATTCATGGGTACATAATAGGATTTGGTGGACCATTACAACAGTTAACCAATGAAATATTCATTCATTTAACATGTACATACCTAGTGTATATGCAAACACACACATATATACACACACCCTCCACAATGTTTTAACATAAAACAGCATTCATAGAAAAGGCAATAGGAAAACAAAGTTCAGTCTACCACTTAGAAAACAGAACAATTTTCCTCACTGGATATTTAACATTATCAACTACCCATTCCCCTTCAAATTACTTTTACCCAGTGACACTTGATAGTTTAAATTGGGACAATGAAAATCTCAGAATAATGAATCAACAATATTAGTGGCTTACTTCACAGTGATTTACTTTTGTTATATTCTAAGTGGAAATAGTGGAGTGAATTTTAGGCGTAGCTTTCTCATTCAACTAGCTATGTGACTCTGGGCAAATTGCTTCAAGTTTTTAGACTTAGGTTCCTCACCTATAAAGTAAGGGATTAAACAACATAATCTCTAAGGGGCTGTCTAGATTTAAAGGTTATGGTTCTTATAGTACCTGTTTAAAGTTGTCACGGCTTCAGCATCATCTTTACATGCCAGCAGTTTGTCTAAATTATAGTCAAGAATTGCCAATCCCAGTTGTAAAATGGCCTTTATTCCATCGTAGAAGAAACAGTCCACCACATTCACTGCACTTTCAATGGGTAGTACACTGATAAAAAGGGTGAGGAACCATGAAAGAGAAACTGAAGAAAAGAATGTCATATCGGTCATGTGTTCTGTTAGCTGGGGAAGATGATCCCTGATAAGTTCTTCAAAGACCGCCTGATCTACCAAGGCACCTGAAGGACATAAAAATAAGTTTAAAAATGAACACCTTTCAAAAGGATTTGTTACCAATACTTCCCACTTCTATTAGTATGCTATTAAACCTAATTTTTCTTCCTTAAATTATGAATTTCTTCAGTGCCTTTTCTACATTTTACAAATCTCTTTATCTGTTAATAGAGTGTCTTTTATTAAGAAGCACTTGAGAAACTCAATTCAAATTCATTTGAACAATTATTTAATGAATTGTTACCATGCATAGAAACCTGTAATACACCAATTAATGAAATGGTCTCCTTCAATAAGCTTAATATCTAGTGGAATTTAAGATAAATACACAAATAATTAAAATGAAAGACCATACAATCAATGATATAGCCATGATTCTGAAGGTTTATGAGGGTACAAGGGAGAGACCATCTATGGTTTTACGGCATGGGAATCATAGATCTATAAATATTTGATTACTGAAGAAAATATTACAAAATTAAGAAACCAAGAACTTGGTCTTTCTTTCAAACCTTTCAAATATGTATACAATTCATATAAATGTGGAGATTTTAAGCTGTCTAAAACCTCTTATCAAGAAACTATTAAAAATTATACAGTAGCTCTTGATGCGACCCACAGGTTGAGAACCGCTAGCAGGGTTGCCTAAGACCATCGAAAAACACAGATATTTACATTACAATTCATTAACAGTAGCAAAATTATAGTTATGAAGTAGCAACAAAAATAATTTTATGGTTGGGGGTCACCACGACACGAGGGTCACGGCATTAAAAAGGTTGAGAACCACTGCTTTAGATAATTATTTTAGTAATACAGAGAGAGTGAACTTAAGATTTCTATTTTATTAAGAAATAGACCAAGATACTTTTTTTTTAAAGCAACATATTAATCTTCCCAATTATTATTACTGCAAAAAGGTCTTTACTTGAGCATGTCTGTGAATGTGACATATTCATATTGCTTGCATTCTGTATACTCTAAAATTTAATTGATCTGTTCTTGCATTTAATAATTGGATAGACAAGAGGCATATAAATTGTTTAGAAAAGAAATATGTGGTTTTTCATGTATTTTTTGTTTTTTACCAATGATTCGACGATTAAAATAATCAGGCAACATTCGTTCACATACAGCAACCAAAAGCCAAAATGCTTCTTCTTCTTTTGCATACAGAAGCAACACTGAAGTCAAAATGTTCATTGCCTGAAATTCATAGAGAAATAAAAAATAGTCATTTAGATGATCCATTCATTTAAACTACTTTTCAAAAAAAAAATCTGTATTGATAAGTTTCAATGAATAAATAGGATTGCTATGTAATCCTATGGGTACTCAACCCATTATGAATGAGTTTATAGCAGAGAGAGCTAGCTATCAACCATAATTCATACTCCCTTCTTCCATAATGTCCATACTCAGCAACACAACATTCTGCAGACTTCTTGGTAAATAGGTTTGACCAAGAGACAAGATCCTCCAATAGAATGCAGGTGAGACATCAAAATTACAACTAAATTAAAGAAAAACCATCATTCAGAACCATCTGAAATCTGGCTTAATGGAGATCATACAACTAGGAAATTAAAAAAAAAGACACATCGAGATTGGTAGGAGGCATTGAGACACAGAATGGGCTGGTCCAACACCCAGGTGTGTTGGATAAAAACTGGGAGGGATATCTCAGCGGCAGAGATGCCCCCTGAGGTATAAGGGGTTCTAGACCCACACTAGACCCTAAACCCAAGGTTCCAGTGCCAGGAAGAGAATCCCCACATCTTTTGGCTGTAAAAATAGCAATGGGGATTGAGGCTGAGGGAAACAGAGGGCTGCTGAGTCTCAGCTAGTTCCTCTTAAAGGGCCTTGTGCACAGACTTAATTGGACTCACTCCCTTTGAGCTCCAGCACTGGGCAGCAACTTAAAATGCTGGTATGGCTCAGTGGCTGAGTGTTGACTAATTGCTGGTTTGATTCCTGGTGAGGGCAAATGCCTGGGTTGCAAGCTTGATCTCCAGTAGGGGGTGTGAAGGAGGTAGCCAATCAATGTTTCTCATCAGTATTTCTCTCTCTCTCCCTTGCCCTTCCTCTCTCTCTCAAATAAATAAAAATATAATTTTTAAAAAAGGAATCCAAGACATACAAGTAAGAAGTGGTTTGTTTGACATCAAGGCAAGAGCTGGGGAGGAGGCACAGCTTTCCCAGACAGAGGTGCTTGCAGAGGCCACTGCTGCTTTGATGAGCCTCCACCCTTATAGAGTCAGTAGACGGGCACCATATCTGAGACTCCATAAATCTGGATCACACTTTTTGCCCCACCCTGATAATTCTCTGATGCCCCACCCACCCAACTTTCCAGCCCACCAAAGGGGTTTCTAGTATTTTTTTCCATACAAATGGCCTGTCTTGGCTCATGCTTCAGATCTGCCTACCAATAAAATCTTTCAAACAAGCAAGCATATGGTCTTGGTGTGCCCCATATCTATTGCTAAATGGCCCCAGGACTGGCACTAGTAGCAGTTGGCCTTGGTTTGCAGCTTGGCCTCACCTAGGCACCTCTAAGCCTAGCACAATGGCAAGCATTTGCTAATCGCTTTGCAGCTCATGTGGGTGGCCTCGGGCAGAACACAGACAGAAACTGAACTTAGCCTGTACTTCCTTAGAGGCCCCAGAGCCCACACCCAGTGGACAGCTTCAGAACACACTGAAGAACCACACAACCACCTCCATAAGTGATACACTCAAGGGGTGAACTCAGCAGCCACTAGAGCCCAGCTGAAGTAATCCCTGCTCTATGGGGTGAGTCCCTGCAGATCTGATCCTCTAAGGTAGTAAGGAGTCAGTGGTTGCAGCCAGTCCTTACAACTAATTGGCCAAGAGGTAAATCCCCAACCCCACTGACATACCAACAGCCATCAAGACTCAACTACAACATGAGGGTATATACAGCCCACAGGGGGGCACGCCTTGAATAATCAGCTTGAGTGTTTGGGAAGGCTGTGCTACTAGACCGGGCAAAACCCCTACCACATCAGGCCACTCTGCCAAGCTTGGGAGACAAAGCACCGCTACCTAATGAAAGAAACAACCACAGAGAGGCTACCAAAATGAGACAAAGAAACATATTCCAAATGAAAAAAGAACAAAACTCCAAAAAAAGAAGCAGAGACAAGCAATCCATCAGATACAGAGTTCAAAACACTTGTTATAAGGATGCTCAATAAACTAAGAACTTCAACAGCATAAAAAAGGAGAAGTCAGAAATGAAGGATACACTAACTGAAATAAAGAATAATTTATAGGGAATTAACAGTAGAGTACATGAAACTGAGAATCAAATCAGCTATTTGGAATATAAGGAAGCAAAACATGCCCAATCAGAACAGCAAAAAGAAAAATGAGTAAGAGACAACCAAGATGGCAGCATAGGTAAAAGCCTAAACTTGCTGCCACATACAACCACATTAAAACTACAACTAAAAGACAAAATGAATACTATCCAGAACCACAGGAAGTCTGGCTGAGTGGAAATTCTACAACTAGAGGGAAAGAGAAAAGCACAATGGGTCCAGTAGGAGGTGCAGAGGTGTGGAAGTTTGGAGGTATGGAGAGGCACACAAAAGGGGCTGGCAACTGGGCATGTTGGTGTCTTTTTCAGTCAGGAGGGAGATACAAGCTCCCAACTTCTATGAACTGCAGTTCCAGAAGAGACTCTGGGGACCCAGACTTATACTGAGAGAAAATGGACTGTCTGGCATTGGGATAGAATGTGAGGGTGGCTTTCTCTCAGAGATGATTGCAGCAATCATTGTTCCAGAACGGTGATGCAGAACACAGAGAACTGGGGGCCTCTTCCTGGCAGGGCTGATGGGTAACCAATGCTGTTTTCTCTGCCCTGGTGATTCCCTGAGACCCGGCCCCACCCAATTTACAACCTCATCCAAGCTGTGCACAGAGGCTTTTGCATATGAATGGCGGCCTTTTGCAATCTAAAACCTAACAAACTGCAGCTGTGTCAGAGAACCCCAGAACTTCCAAAAGAAGGCCCAAGGCTGGAAAACAGCTTGCATTGCTTCACAGCTGGGCCTCATCTGGGCAACTCCAAACCCCAAACAAAGAAGAAAAATCTGCAGATATCTCTGTAGCTGCTGCTGGGCGGCCTCAGGCAGTGGCTGACTTTGCACCTTCTTGGAGATCCAAGAGCCAGTGTACCCAGTGGTCAGAGAGAGACCATCCAAATTACAACTCTTCACATCCATAAGAGACACACTCAGGGACAGATTCAGTGAGCACCAAAGTCCCAGTGAAGCAAGTCATAAGGGTGTCTCCAGTACAGAAGTTCTCCATTGTAGACAAAACTGGTCCTCATAGCCAATTGGCCTGAATGTTAATTCCACCCAATGATACGAACAGTAATCAAGGCTAACCTACAACAAGACTGTGCACACAGTCCACAAAGGGGTGCACCAAGAGTGTCCACTTCAGGTAATTAGGGAGGTTGAACCACTGGGCCCCATAGGACACCTAGCACATAAAGCCACTCTATCAACACAGGGAGGCAGCCAAGATGTGAAGACAAAGAAACAGGTCACAAATGAAAGAAATGGAGGAAATCAAACTATTGGATATAGAGTTCAAAACCATGTTTATAGGGTTACTCAAGAATCTTCTAGAAACCTCTGAGCAATATAGGGAGACCCTCAAGGATATGAAGAAAAAAAAAATTAGAAATGAAGCATACACTGACTGAAATAAAGAATAATATACAGAGATCCAACAGCAGACTAGAGGATCCCAAGAATCAAGTCAAAATTGAAATACAAAGAAGCAAAGGACACCAACGCAGAAAAAAGAATCTAAAAATATGAAAATAGTGCAAGGAACCTCTGGGACAATTTCAAGTATACCAACATCCAAATTATAGGGGTGTCAGAAGAAGAGAGAGAGCAAGATATTGAAAACCTATTTGAAGAAACAGTGACCAAAAACTTCCCCCACCTGGGGAAAGAAATAGTCTTACAAGTCCAGGAAGCACACAGAACCCCAAACAAAAGGAATCCAAAGAGGACCACACCAAGACACATCATGATTAAAATGCCAAGGGCAAAAGACAAAGAGAGAACCTTAAAAGCAGCAAGAGAAAAAGTTAGTTACCTACAAGGGAGTACCCATACAACTCTCAGCTGATTTCTCAATAGAAACTATGCAGGCCAGAAGGGAGTGGAAAGAAATATTCAAAGTGATGAATAGCAAGAACCTACAATCAAGATTACTCTACCCAGCAAAGCTATCATTTAGAATTGAAGGTCAGATAAAGAGTTTCACAGATAATAAAAAGCTAAAGGAGTTGTCACCACCAAACCAGTATTATATGACATGCTGAAGGGTATTCTTTAAGAGGAAGAAGAAGAAAAAGGTAAAGACAAACATTATGAACAACAAAGTGACAACAAATACATATCTATCAACAAGTAAATCTAAAAGTCAAGTGAACGAAAAATCTGATGAACAGAATAAACTGGGGAATAGAAAAAGAGTGAACTGACAATTCTCTGGGGGGATGGTGTCTAGGGGATGTGGGAAAAGATTGGACAAAAATCATACACCTATGGACGAGGGCAGTTGGGGGGCAGACAAAGGCAGGGTGTGGGGTGGGAATGCGGTGGAGGGGAGCTATAGAGGAACAAACAGGAACAACTGTAATCTAAACAATAAAGTTTTATTATAAAAAAGAAAATGGAATAAAAAATAAGTACCGTATTTTCTGGCGTATAAGACGACTTTTGAAACGAAAAAAAGTCAACCGAAAATCGGGGGCAAAAGACCAAAATTGCATAAAAATCACCTGCAGATCTTGACGGCAAAGTAAGTCTTTTCTTTAAAGTGGGGGGTAGTCTTATACAGCGAATATAGGCCTAAACCTATGTTTTAACTGTAAAATTAGGGGGTCGTCTTAGACGCCGGAAAATACGGTATAGTGTAAGGACCCTGTGGGACAACTTCAAGAGTACCAAATTACACACCATGGAGGTGCTGAAAAGAGAAGAGAGCAAGAAATTAAGAACCCATTTGAAAAAAATAATGGCAGAAAACTTCCCTAATTTGGTGAAGGAAATATACATACAAGTCCAGGAATCACAGAATCCCAAAGAAGATGAACCCAAAGAGGCCCACACCAAGACTCATCATAATTAAAATACAAAAGTTTA